TGAACATAGCCCCCATACCTTAAGGTAAGACGTATTCTACGTCAAAAATCGACAAGCAAAATATATTTGCGGTAAGCTAACAATAAACTTACTACAGTAAGCCAGACATTCGGAAAATGTTTACTCCAAATATGTATTCACAGCGAAAAAAGCACCTAATAAATTGGAACAAAACTAATGAGATATCTCTACGGTTTTTTGTTAGGGAGATATTGCATTTACTTTCAGAGGGACAATTTTTTTGATAAAACCAAAAATAAATCTTTTGGTTTTTATAAGGTTGCCTAATTAAATGCTAAAAAAAGAAGTTATAAAAAATTCCACGCCGACCTGTCCTTGATCCCGCGACCTTCTGAACGGCAATTTACAGCTCTACCTACTCGGCTACGGTGCTCGTCTTACCGACAGTATTGATTAATATGAATTTAATATAAATTCAAGAAGATATCATATGAAAGTAAGGAGTAAAAATTTGTGAAGCGGGTCACCATTTTTTCGAGGGTCGAGCTTTTTTGTGCAATTATCTGTTTAAGCTTTACAACGATAAAAGAAAAATAAAATTTTCACTATTTTTCGAAATTCGAATTATTTTGGAAGTTATAGCTATTAGAATTTAAGAAATTGTTTAGAATTTAATTGTTTTCCCGCGATTGGTAATACCGATTCTGGTCATATTTTAAACAGTTGAGAATGATGATGTTTTCTTCCCATTTTTATTTTTTATTTGGCCATATTTGTTTTTTTTTATAGAAGTTATAAAAATTTATTGAAATATTACTGACTTCTCAATGGCTTCCAAATCGCTAATATTGCTAATATTGTTGTACGTGCAGAAAAAAAAATTTTGCCGCAATCCATCGAGACGGAAGTTATTCACACTTTTCTTTTGTCGTCTAATGTATTTTGTATGGAAAACGTTCGCCGTAGTTATTCACCTCGCATGAGTTTTTCAACAAGTATCGATTGACAACCAGTATAGCGCGCTTGGGATACTTATTTCATAGTTTTCTATACAAAATATATTGTGCGTCAAGATAAAAGCTTGAATAACTTTCGACTCGATGCATTGCGGCAACATTTTTTTTCTGCAAGTAATTACTAATAGAACGTAAAGCAATATTTATTAGCCCAAGATACGTTTTTAAAGTCATTGAGATGTCAGTAATATTTAAAAAAATGTAATAACTTTTATAAAAACAATGTATGGCCAAATAAAAAATAAAATTGGCAAGAAGTCAATATCGTTCTCAACCGTTTAAAACATGAGCAGAATCGGTATTACCAATAGCTATAACTTCCAAAATAATTCGAATTTCGAAAAATTGTGAAAATTGTATTTTTCTTTTATCGTTGTGAAGCATAGACAGATAATTGCACAAAAAAGCCCGACCATCGAATAAATGGTGGAACACTTCACAAATTTTTACTCTAAAAAGCAGGGACGTGAACCGGTTTTTTTGAACCGGAAAACCGATTTTTCTATTAATTAACTGAACCATTAACCGAACCGAAATTTTCCACAAATGTTTGATCCGAACCGAAAACCGAACCACTTTTCATAAAGGTTTAAAGGTTCGTTGAAACCAATTTTCAATAGATAAATTTACACGCTTTTGTTTCTTTTCGTTAAATATGGTAATACATACCATGTTTGTTTACCATGTGGCAATATCAAATGTAAAGGCAACTCATCTCATTTAACATACACATAGACTTGCGCGTAATATTTTTTTTTTTTGATTTCCGAACCGTCGAACCGAACCGAAGCCCCGGTTCAAAGACCAAAAAACCGCTGTGACGAACCAATCCAAAAGTACAAAAACGATTCGAACCGCTGAACCGAACCCACCAAATTTTCCATCCGGTTCAAGTCCTTGCTAAAAAGAATTAAATAAATTAAGGAATACATCATCAGTGATGCCGTTTTTGCCCTTTGGTGGCTAGACTTAGCTACCATATACTTTTTTTGGCCACATAAATTTAAAATTACCCCTAGACCTTTTCTTAGCCCTTTGGAGAATTTATTCATACTTGGCATGAAAAAGTGGTATATGCTTAATTTGATCTCATTTTTTTTTCATTTATGTCAGAGATGAATTTTTAAACTAAGAAAGACTGATATATATACACATATGTATTGTATGTTCGTTACGTTTTTATACATAATATAATAATAATAGATTGGCGCTTACACATATGTTAGTGTTTGGCCGAGGTTCCCCTCCGACTTGTGGCGTGCGCCTTGATGTTGTCACACAAAGCGGAGGGACCTACAGTTTTACGCCGACTCCGAACGGCGGTTGTATTTTTATGAGAAGCTGTTTTTCATGGCAGAAATACACTCGCAGGTTTGCCATTGCCTGCCGAGGGACCTCTGCTGTTAACAAAAAAGTAAGTGCGCCTGGGCCACATTAGAGAAGTGAAACTTACGTTACATACATATCTATTTTGTCTCATAACCAATATACATACATACATATGTATATCTGCGTTTGCTGAAGGTTATATTTTTTGTATATTTTCTATCTAGATCCCTACCTCTACCTCTGTTCGTTCTAATTACTTTATGTTATTCTGTTTTTCTTTATCTTCATTTTTATCTTTATACTTTTTCGATAACAAAATCGATAGTAAAATCCAATAAAATATCAATAACAAAACCGATAAAAATATCGATAACAAAATCGATGAAAATGTCGATAAAAATTTCGATAGCAAAATCGATAATAATATTGGTAGAAAAATCTATTAGAAACTCGATAAAAATAACCATAACAAAATCGATAAAAATATCCATAACAAAATCGATACAAATATCGATAACAAAGTCGATAAAAATATCCATACCAAAATCGATAAATATCGATAACAAAATCGATAAATATCTATATCAAAATAGATAACAAAATTGATAACTATCGATAACAAAATTGATAAATATCGATAACAAAATCGATAAATATCGATAACAAAATCTATAAAAATAGCGATAACTAAATCGATAAAATTATCCATAATTAAATCGATAACGAAATCGATAACAAAATCGATAACAAAATCGATAAATATCGATAACAAAATCGGTAAATATCGATAAATATCGATAAATATCGGTAACAAAATCGGTAAATATCGATAACAAAATCGACGAATATTGATTAAAAAAATCTATAAATATCGATAGCCAAATCGAAGAAATAGCAATAACAAAATCCATTAAAATATGGATAACAAAATCAATAAAAATATCGATAACAAATCGATAAAAATATCGACAACAAAATCGATAAAAATATCGATTATTGTATCGATAAGTTCCGAAAATATCGACAGCAAAATTGGTAAAAATATCGATAAAGAAATCGATAAAAATATCGATAACAAAACCGATAAAAATATGGATTATTTTATCGATAAGTCCCGAGAATCCCGAAAATCTCTAAAATCCCAAAATAGCTCCCAGATTGAGTCTCTGTGTCTCTCTCTATATTCTTTCCTCTTTAATTACCTTTATTTTAATCGTTCTTCCTCTNGCGATAACTAAATCGATAAAATTATCCATAATTAAATCGATAACGAAATCGATAACAAAATCGATAACAAAATCGATAAATATCGATAACAAAATCGGTAAATATCGATAAATATCGATAAATATCGGTAACAAAATCGGTAAATATCGATAACAAAATCGACGAATATTGATTAAAAAAATCTATAAATATCGATAGCCAAATCGAAGAAATAGCAATAACAAAATCCATTAAAATATGGATAACAAAATCAATAAAAATATCGATAACAAATCGATAAAAATATCGACAACAAAATCGATAAAAATATCGATTATTGTATCGATAAGTTCCGAAAATATCGACAGCAAAATTGGTAAAAATATCGATAAAGAAATCGATAAAAATATCGATAACAAAACCGATAAAAATATGGATTATTTTATCGATAAGTCCCGAGAATCCCGAAAATCTCTAAAATCCCAAAATAGCTCCCAGATTGAGTCTCTGTGTCTCTCTCTATATTCTTTCCTCTTTAATTACCTTTATTTTAATCGTTCTTCCTCTATCTTCATCTTTACTTTTATCGTTATCCTCATCCTCCTCTTTGTCTTTACTTTTATGTTTATCATTTTCTTCATCTACGTATTGCCCTTATATATAGGTATGAGTAAAGTGTTTAAAATTACCTTGGTCTTTATTTTTGCCTTTATCTTTACGGATCTTTGTTTTAGTTTTTATTTTTACTTTTGCCTTTATCCTTTTCTTTATCTATGTACGTAGTCACCTTTATTTTCATTCTTGTATTGGTCTTTTTCTACTTTTTAACCTTTTATTAGCAAATTTTTGTTAAATTAATACCATATGCATATACCCAATAAGCACTTATTTCAGCCCCAACCATTCCCGTTGCACCGTTTCCGTTGCACCATTTCCGTTGCATCATTTCCGTTGCACCATTTCCGTGTGCAATTTCCGTTGAATTTGCCAATTTACTCCCAACCAACCAACCGCCGCTAAAGAAGTTTCACTTCAATAAATTTAGTTCTTTAGATATTCAAATAAAGTAGTATGTGTTACTGTAGGGATATATTGTTCACACTTGCGAAAAAATTTCGACTAATTTGTTAAAAAAAAAACACACATAATTATATTATTTTCATTTATTATAATGCAGTAGTAACTATAATTAATATTTTATACTCTTTGATGTGTTTCTGTAAAATTGTTGCGCTCCAGACGCCAAACTTGCATACATTGCCATTTAGCCCACTAAGTCCAGCATTAACAATCCTTAAATCGGCCAATAACCATGCACACTTTCGACATAACAGCAATCTTAAAAAATGCGACTCGTGCGCTGCGTGGGTAAATTTCGGTTTCGCTTGAACTTAAATTTCCTTATTTGTTTCTTATTAATACTGCCTTTATTCTTCCAACGAAAATACAAAATCTCACCCACAAAAGCAACCACACATAGAGACATACTTGCGATATATTGAACTTGTATCCAAAAAAAGTCATCCACGACCAAAGGTCGTCCATAATCCAGCGGTCTACTCAAGTCCTCAATCACTATCAACTTAAATTTTGCCATTACGAAAAAATTGAGCGCCACCCATATTGTTATAATGCCTGAAGAATGTAGACGCAGTACAAAGTCATCTAATAGATCACGATAGGGCAGATCAGCACGAATGGGCATGGAGAGAGGCACAGTTTTGAAAAAACACAAGTCCGAATTGAAGTAGAATATGGGCCGGTTGAAGAGCCTCTGTTGGGATTCGAAGGCCTCCCAGCGAATACTTGAAACAGGAAACACATATTTTGTTTTCAAGCTAGATCGGCGCTTCAGCCACGCGTCGTATTCTGGTACCATTTTTACCAGATGCATGTGTTTCAAAAGACTCTGATTTTGTTTTATGACAGATAACTCGTCTGCAGGAAATAGAATTGTCAAACCAGCAGCTTCCAAATCTTCGTAACTATGATGCATCGGTAGAAGAGGAGGATGGGTGAAAAAGGACTGCAGGTAAGCTTGGTAAGTTGTATTAGTAATGATGCTCATGAAACAAAGCAAAAATACGATGAACTTTATTTTATAGCTCGGCTGAGCTGCTAACACGAAAGACTGACCCAACATGCCGCGAATGCTCTGATCGTTTAGAAAAAGGTTTATAAAGTTGATTTGCTTGCTTTTATTGAAAAGAGTAAGCAATGCGGCGAAAATTACTATAAACACGAAGATATAAAGGAGCATTGGAAATCGTACGATGGCAAGAAACAGCTGATTTATGGGCACATTTTCCGGTAGTGGCACCATATAGCAATAGTCCATCGTCTGCACTGGATACGACAGCTTTTCTAAGTCGTCATTAGGTGTCACAAATGTCATTCCAGCGGCTATATCGATGGTGCCGTTCTCCGCGAGCTCCTGCAGTACTCCGTAAAAAACGGATTTTCCCACTTTATAGGGATGATTTATAAACAGCGTCGTATTACGTCTGGCTGCGAAAACTCTTAGTGTTCTACCTATATACCCCTCCACCTCCACATTCCCATCCGGCTTATAGTACAGCATGGAGCGCGGTTCAAGTTGATCGGGATAAATTAATATTGGCGTACCGTACATATTCTGGAATTGCTGTTCGAAGATGGCGCTCGAAATCTCACCTGGACGTTTAAGACTTTTCTCTTTGTAACGAGGCGCATCCAGCGGAAATTTGTTGCAAGTGTAATAGTTTTGGGTTGCACTGAAATCCCTTTGAATTATTAAAACATTGTAAATGTCATTGGCCATTGCGTCGAGGCAATATTGTTTTACCAGCACAAGATCGGTTACATGTGGCACATAAGCCACTATACGTGTTTGCTTCAAGCTTCGAAACACTCTTAGCTCTGCTAATCTAGCAGCTAAGCTTGATTGGTGTAGGCAGAGCAAAATCAGCAGCTCTTTTGAGAATTGCGCCTTGTAAGTATACGCCAACCTTTTGTTTAGAAGTACGACAGGCATCGATATTTCTTTCAGGACATTATCAAAAATGCAATCATCTGCCGATGTCTGGCATATTGCGATTGTATTGAAATCACGTTCCATGCGGATCTCCTGTAGCAATTTTAGTAATTCTCTGTTCATTGTGTCATTTTCGGCAGATAAAATTTGCAAAGGTTTCGCAGTTGTCGGCGTGACTGCCAGCAAAAAAACAAGCATCAAGCACTTCAAGCGCACCTTTGACATGGCAATGGAGTATAGTGAACGGCGTGACTAGAAGAACTGAGCTGCGCTAATACTCACCTGGCCTTAAATGGACATCTGGGGTGTGCATTGCGTGGAAATATTTGAAGTTCATCTATAATAACCGACGTTTACGCAGACAATTTTTGGCACGACCTTTTTCATGTTTTTTTTTTTTTTTTTTTTTAACGAGACACGCCAATTCCATGCCAGGCTGTGACGGCCCTGAGTGTGTTTCTGCAATGAAATCAACAATCAAAAATCATAAACGAACTGTTTTTACAATATCTATAATAACAGATGTAGATTGATTTAAGCACATGGGTTGTGGGTAAACATGTAAGCTCGTATTGAGATCAAGTTATAGACCAGGGGTGGCCAACAAATTTTACTTCCCGAGCTAAACGACAGCAACGTAAATAAAAATTACAACATCGTTTCCGGAATAAAAAAAAAAAACAATAATTCTTCTCTAAACTATTTTGGTACTAAACTAACAACAAAGCAATGCTACAAACCTACAACTCAGCTAATTCGAACCAACGCGAAGCAGCAGTGAATAAGGGGTGTGCTGGAGCTATGTAATAATTACCACAATATTGCAGCCTTATTGCTTTCTTGATGATATGCTGCTGATGTGCAGAAATTGCGCAGAAAAAACTTTTGATGTGCCAATGATTAGCAATTGATTTTCAAAATTTTGTTCCTCGAAGTTTTCTCGTAGGAGCGTGATGCTATTTCATAAAAAGTAGCACTGCCTAAGAGTTTCAAAAGTTAATAATCAGTGTTATCTCCAGCTTTTGTCGTGTTTTACCAAAATTTACAGGACATACAATTTTTATTTAGCTGAATAAATTGACACTAAATTGTGGCATATATGCCAATTCAAACGGTAAAATTTGTAGTCATAACCAGTGTTGTTATTTAAAATTTTTAAATTGTACCAAATTAATGACAAAAAGTGTAACTTTTGGAGCTTAATAGTACTTTTCACCATTTCCGTCAACGCATTACTTCGCTTTTCCCGCAACCAAACAAAACCATTTTTTTTTTGTCTACTGCATAGTGTTTATTGTTCAGTTCATTGCACAGCTTCAATTAGTGAATAAAAACGATGAAAATTTGATGAAACTTTGTTGATTTTTTTCAATCTTTCAAGTTTGGATTTATTTGTAAGGGTTTTGTTAGACAATGAGCTGCAATGTTATAAAAAAAAAAATAATTAAAAAGAAAAAATAAAATAAATACCGGGTGACCGTGTAATTTTGTCAAAGATGAAGACAATAATGATAAAAATTAATACAGTATATAGGTCAGTTCATATTAATGAAAATAAATCACATAAAATGAGATCACTATTGATAAAATGTAAATCCTCAATAAAAATTTTTAATTTCAACGCAAGAAATTTACATAAATTTTTTTACTTTAAACACCCTGAATTGCTCAATTACTTCTATGTATGTCTACAGGATCGCCATTCGGTAAATTGCATTTCCAAACATTTTTTCAAAATAAAGAGCTATGAGGGATATTTCACCTGCCTGTGATAAGAATTCGCAATCATCATAACGCACAACACTAATATTACTGTTCACAATCACGTTTACATCCAAAATTACAATTCATAATTTCATTTTGTAGCAAATATGAAATATAGGTATATCCATTTACTTAAATGTAAAGAGTTAAAGTGCTAGAAGATTTGAGAGTTTGGTTCAAAAAGGATTTTTGATGTTGAAATTGTACTTAAAATCGGAAAATTGTACTTTTGTATTTTTTTTAAATTAATTGTACTGAAAAAAGTACAATTGCACTTAAGATATCAACACTGGTCATAACTTCTGGGACCTGATGTTGTTGTGAGCCAAAGTGTGCCAACTGTGCACCCCTGATATAGGCAAACCAGTATAAACAAACATTTAAATAGATACATTTTTATGTATATAAATACATACAATAAAGAGGGGAACACAGTTATAAGTAAATTAGCCTTCAAATATAGAGTTCGTTTTGTGTTGCAGATAAACAGTTATTTAAATGGTACACTGACCAGTTTTCTAATTAGTGATACAATTGTAGAGTTATTGTGTTTAGTTGCTTTGGTTTAAAATTGTGGTATTCTCTAAGTCTCGCAAAACCCTTGCACGTTGTACGCATTGCACGGTTTGTAAAATACCGTGCGAGGGTTTTGCAAGACTTAAAGAATACCCCTAATGTTTTCAGAATAGAGCATGGAGTATGCGTACAGCATACATGTGTATGTATGCATGTAAGGGACTATAATTTCAGGACCCTCAATGGGTAAAGCGGCCTCTGGCCGGCTGGTTGGTGCCCTCAAAAAACTAGCACTACTGACGAGAATTTGAGTGTACTGTGCACAAGCCACCGAAAGAGTAACCCTGTCATAGCGGAGGGTAGGGCGGCCAAGCAAGTATACAGTGAACTATTAAGTAGCTGGGTATTATTATTGGGCTTATCCACTGAAGTTAAGCAGAGTTTTCCGATCGAAAAACATTGATTTTCAAGAATGCCATACCATTTCTTCCAAAAGTGGATTTCCCCATATTTATTTATTTATTTATTTAACAATCTAGAAATATAACATTTCTTACAGACTATGAACAGTTTCGAATCTAATCTAGTAATTCATTTAAAACTAAATTGAAGTTGAGAGCATATTGAACTCTTTTAATGCTCTATAAATATTTAGGCGCATTAGCAGCATAATTGGTTCTGGCTACTTTCAATGAAAAAAAGTAAGTGCGCCTGGGCTACACTGGAGAAGTGAAACTTACGTTACATACAAATCTATTTTGTCTCATACCCAATATACCATCACTACACACGAATAAAGGCGCGACAGTGTTTTGACGGCGAAAAAAGGCGCGTAAAAAAATTTTGCGAAAAAAGATGCATCTGAAAAACTTCGGGGAAGTATGTTAAGAGTTTTTGACGCTAAAGTTCTTTTATGCGTCTTTTTTCGCCGTCAACTTTCGAGCTCGCGCCTTTATTCGTGTCTAGTGACGATACATACATAAATATGTACATCTGCTTATGCTTAAGGTTATATTTTTTGTATTTTTTCTATCTAGATCCTTACCTCTACCCTGTTCGTTCTAATTACATTTATGTTATTCTGTTTTTCTTTATCTTCATTTTTATATTTATACTCTTTCGATAACAAAATCGATAGTAACATCCAATGAAATATCGATAACAAAACCGATTAAAATATCGATAACAAAATCGATGAAAAATTCGATAAAAATTTCGATAGCAAAATCGATAATAATACTGGTAGCAAACTCTATTAGAAACTCAATAAAAATATCGATAAAAATAACCATAACAAAATCGATAAATATCGATATAAAAATCGATAACAAAATCGAAAAATATCGATAAAAAAATCGATAAATATCGATATAAAAATCGATAACAAAATCGAAAAATATCGATAAAAAAATCGATAAATATCGATAACAAAATCGATGAAAAATTCGATAAAAATTTCGATAGCAAAATCGATAATAATACTGGTAGCAAACTCTATTAGAAACTCAATAAAAATATCGATAAAAATATCCATAACAAAATCGATTAAAATATCGATAACTAAATCGATAAAAATATCCATAACAAAATCGATAAATAACGATAACAAAATCGATAAATATCGATATAAAAATCGATAACAAAATCGAAAAATATCGATAAAAAAATCGATAAATATCGATAACAAAATCGATAAATATCGATAACAAAATCGATAAATATCGATAAGAAAATGTATAAATATCGATAGCACAATGTATAAAAATGTCGATAACTAAGTCGATAAAAATATCCATAACAAATTAGATAAATATCGATCCTAAAATCGATAAATATCGATAACAAAATCGATAACAAAATCGATAAATATCTATAACCAAATCGGTAAATATCGATAACAAANAGAGCATATTGAACTCTTTTAATGCTCTATAAATATTTAGGCGCATTAGCAGCATAATTGGTTCTGGCTACTTTCAATGAAAAAAAGTAAGTGCGCCTGGGCTACACTGGAGAAGTGAAACTTACGTTACATACAAATCTATTTTGTCTCATACCCAATATACCATCACTACACACGAATAAAGGCGCGACAGTGTTTTGACGGCGAAAAAAGGCGCGTAAAAAAATTTTGCGAAAAAAGATGCATCTGAAAAACTTCGGGGAAGTATGTTAAGAGTTTTTGACGCTAAAGTTCTTTTATGCGTCTTTTTTCGCCGTCAACTTTCGAGCTCGCGCCTTTATTCGTGTCTAGTGACGATACATACATAAATATGTACATCTGCTTATGCTTAAGGTTATATTTTTTGTATTTTTTCTATCTAGATCCTTACCTCTACCCTGTTCGTTCTAATTACATTTATGTTATTCTGTTTTTCTTTATCTTCATTTTTATATTTATACTCTTTCGATAACAAAATCGATAGTAACATCCAATGAAATATCGATAACAAAACCGATTAAAATATCGATAACAAAATCGATGAAAAATTCGATAAAAATTTCGATAGCAAAATCGATAATAATACTGGTAGCAAACTCTATTAGAAACTCAATAAAAATATCGATAAAAATAACCATAACAAAATCGATAAAAATATCCATAACAAAATCGATTAAAATATCGATAACTAAATCGATAAAAATATCCATAACAAAATCGATAAATAACGATAACAAAATCGATAAATATCGATATAAAAATCGATAACAAAATCGAAAAATATCGATAAAAAAATCGATAAATATCGATAACAAAATCGATAAATATCGATAACAAAATCGATAAATATCGATAAGAAAATGTATAAATATCGATAGCACAATGTATAAAAATGTCGATA